GTCTCCAACCTTGGCAACTTCAACACTTGTGGACTTCAACTCCCAGAATTCCTCAGCCAGCTTGGCTGGCTGAGAAATTCTGGGAATTGAATTCCACAAGTCTTAAAGTTGCCAAGGTTGGGGACCTCTGGTTTAGACACATCTCTCTGTGTGTATTTGATTGTCTCCAAAATCCACAAGAAAAGATAATTCTTTGCAATCTAGGGCACCTCTTAATATAACTTTGAATGTGTTTGGAAAGGTAAGAGAACTAGCTATTTTTCCTAAGTCAAAATGGGAAGGATTTGACAAATCATAAGCGGTCATAGTTATCTTTTCTGTAGTGCTTTGTTTTGTTAAATTTCCAACAGCTGTAAGAGGAATGCCAGAGGAAGAAACTATTTAACTATTTCTAGCTGGTTCTTCCACGTACTCCCTCTTACTGCTTCTTTTTTCTATGGAAGAGATGAGATTGTGGTCCATTCAGAAATGAGATGAGGGAATAGTCAGAAAACTAAAGCTCCTACTGAAACATATTCTTTTATGTAAGCTATCAGGGATTCAGAGAAAAATAGAAAAAGTATCTAAAACAACAGGTATGTTTTCATAAGGAGTTACTGAAATGTAGCTTGACAACTGAAGAGATGAAAATCTTGTCCTTTGTTGAGTTAATCCAGGGGTAGGCAACCTTGGCTCTTTTATGACTCATGGACTTCAACTCCCAGAATTCCTGAGCCAGCATGGCTGGCTCAGGAATTCTGGGAGTTGAAGTCCATGAGTCATAAAAGAGCCAAGGTTGCCTACCCCTGGATTAATCTATCCATCTTTAAATTGGCAAACTGCCAGCTTTAAAGTTATTGTCCTTGCCAGATGCTGCTCTGCCTTTACAGTATCTGTGTTAAGGTGCTAAACCAATTATACGTATACAGGCAGTCCTTGACTTAAAACCATTCATTTAGTGACTGTTCAAAGTTACAACAGCACTGTGACTTATGACCATTTTCACACTTATGACCACTGCAGCATCGCCATGGTCACGTGATCAAAAGGGGGGGGTTGCAACTGGCATTATTTATGACAGTTGCACTGCCCAGAGGTCATGCGATCATCATTTGAAAACTTCCCAGTCAGCCTCTGACAAGCACAGCCAACAGGGAAGCCAGATTCATGTCATGGCGGCATGATTCACTTAACAAAGGTGGTAAAAAAGGTAATAAAATAGGGCAAACCTCACTTAAAAACTATTTTTGGACTTGACTATGCTCATAACTTGAGGACTACCTGTATACGTCCAGCAAAGAGAATGTTTAAGCCTTCCAATTTGACTGCCCTCTCTTTTTAGTACATCCTAGCTTGCAGAAAAATTACTTACAACTATGACACTATAACAGGAGCTGGGCAGGTCCAATTGTAGAACTCTGCCTTCTTCTATCTATACTATACTTCATTCTGTCTCTACTATACTTCATTTTATCATAACCTGAGCTGAATAAAGATAGATGGATGGATGGATGGATGGATGGACGGACGGACGGACGGACGGACGGACGGACGGACAGACAGACAAAGATACATGAGTCACCAACAGCATATTTTCAATACATAGGCCACACAAATGCTTCATTTCAAATTCCTACATATTATTTTCAGAAAGCAAAGGGGTGGGGGAAGAGTTACTTCCACCATTTTAGTGTTCTGCTATTTCAGCCTGTTCTACAATTTGATTCCATTGTTTCAGAGTTCCAGTTACAGCCCTGTGATACAAATAATAAGGGCCCCAAAGTTAAGGATCAAGTCAAAGGTTGCAAACTCAGGAATCTACACTTATTACATAAACCTAATAGATTACTGGACCATTATATCTAACTCTTGAGAGAATCACCAGTGAAATTATGGCAAACCAGAAATTAATGTATGGAGACTATGAGTCAATATCAGCCTGACACAGCCGATAAACACTACAACAACCTCACACATTTATAGACACTTGATCTTATCTAATCTGCAATTGCTGTTTGATGTTGTCAGCTCAAGGAGAAAAACTTTAATGTTGGTACAGCTATGAATGATTTAACACTTTCTGAGTCATGGCGTATATACATATATATATTTCCTAGATTTTTGCAACTCTGTTCAAGAGAATTGTTATCCACACTGATCAACCAAATGCCTTTGGAATACTCACAAGCAGAAGATAAAGGAAACATTCCTTCTTATATGGTTGTTCTTCTGCAAATAGTATTTGGAGGCATAGCTATCTGGTAAGTTTGGGCCAGTCACTCTGTTTCAGCCCTAGAAATAAGGCAAGGGTAAATGACCCCTCAAAATCTTACTCCACAAAATGCAGGGGCTACTCCACACAATTGTCTGGAGTCAGTACTGAGTCAAAGGCACACATATGCACACACACCTATCTGAAACTGATATTTGGGGCATACCACCTACCAATCCATAAGTAACACTGAACTTTCAAGACTAATAGTCTTTGATAAATTTGTTTTTTATCATCCCCCACCTTTCCATTACACTTTTTCTTAATTCTAATTCTTTAAATTAGGATTGTTACTGATTAAAAGACAAACAATAATCACAACAAAATTGTTTTGCATAGCTGATATAGTAACGTACTTCCAAGAACTTGTTGCTTGCTACTAGCAAACAGGTTTTGAGCCGTTTTTCATTATAAACAAAATCAACACTGGTGAAACCAATTGCTTCTGGAATAGCCAGGATGAAGGAAAGAATCCAAATACAAAAAATTTCAATAGCGGTAGTCAAAGGGACACCAATTCCCTGAACACGACTCCAGGAAGCAACTGCTCGGTATCTAAAATAAACAGAGAAATTTATATTATCAGCTTCAGCTCTTTATAAAAGTTTTCAAAACAGGCATAATACATTAACAGGCACATTTTAAGATTCTTCAAATATGTGTTAGTAACAAAAAATTGGTGAAAATACATAGTTGACAAGGTAGTCAAGAATGAGCAGATTAAAAATATGGTGGGATTTCTGAATACAAACTGATAAAGTCTTGGCTCATAATAGACCAGATTAAGGGTGGTTGAAAAGAAGAAAATGTAGATAATTGATATGGGAATACTAGGGGATCATAGAAGACAAAAATTGGACAAGATTATCAAATCTGAAAATCAAAGTTGGCATAAACCAGCCATGGTGGTCCCAGTGGTTGTTGGCATTCTGGGTGCCAGACAAAAAAAACACAGACTGCATTGATGAAATTTCCATCTGTAAATTGCAAAAGGCCACCCTGATTGACTCCTCATATGTACTATGTTGATATATTATGATATCCTAGGTTCCTGGGAAGAACTTGATGCATGTTGTTAAGAACTGGCAGCTATGATTTTACATTGTCAGGTATATATAATAATAAAAACCTGGAGACAGCAGAATAGAAGAGAAAGAACTAGAGAAAATGAAATACAAAGACTTGCAAATAGAGATAGAATGGCTATGACAAAAGAAAGAAAAAGTAGTACCAATAATAATAATAAATGTCTTGATAAGTTGAAAAGAAAGACAAAAAAGTCTAGATACTGAACATTGTAATACCTGGAGGGAACAGAAGAGAAGAAAATAAACGAGATAAATCACAAAATAGAAAGACCTGCAAATAGAAGTAGAATGACTGTGGCAAAAGAAAGCAAAACTAGTAGCAATAGTAATGGGTGCCTTGGGTCCAAACCCAAACAACTGGAGCACCACTTGAACACCATCACCATTGACAAAATCATCCAGTTGCATAAGGTAGCTTTACTCAGAATACCTTATATCCTGCGACGATAACTTTAACACCATGAAACATCCAAATCTGCCTATCCCAGGTCCTTGGAAAGGACTCGATAGCTTAATAAAAATGCCAAATCTAATCTAAACATATGGCTGACTGTGCAACAAACAATAATATTGTTATACACTACCTTGACACTTCTTAGGCTCTTGGTTCATACTTGAATTATTACATTTCCACCAGTCTTAGACTGTGAACCTAACTGTAGATTACCCACAAATAATAGATCCCTAAAGTAGTTTCTTGTAACCATTTATCACCACAAGATCCTTTCAAAATATGCACACCATCTCAAAGAGAGATATTCCAATGATAGATATTCTTTCTCTGCCTTGCCCCTGAAAGTTTAAGAAGAGAGGGCAATTTTCTTGTAGCCAGGGCCTAACTTCTCACTTCCTTGGTTTTTGGCTATAAAGGATTTGACTAGTGATATCAATGATATCACTGATATAGCTACAGCTAAAACTGTAGACATTCTTGAAATGTATTAATGGACAAAATGATTGCTTTAGTCATACAAAGTCTAGTGTATCCACTCAAACCATTAATTCCTCCAATGGAAAAAAATGAGCCAGTTGAAAAATCAGGGATTTTTAAAGAGGTGAAAAGCATTTAAAGTAAGGTGGACCTTCAGTTTTCTTTAAAACACACTTATTTGGGGCCTTGGGGGGGGGGTTGGGGATACCTTAGATGTGATATGATCAAAATTGTGTCAGATAATTTCATGGCCATTCCTTTGGTTCACTTTATTAAAAAAATAGTTTGGTGTCTTACAACTAATCAATGAAATATTGTCAGACTGAGAAAAATAATAAAATGAAATACAACACAGGATGAGGAGCCAAATTTGAAATTAAGCAAAAAGCTATTGATCTAAATAAAATTTTAAAACTCCAGGTCATTATATAATATTCAGTTATGGACTATCTTGATAATTTTTCATATATGACAAAATTCACAGAAGGGAATAATGTATTTCTTACCTGTCCACACTTAGAGCACAGAGATTAAGAACAGTGACCCCAACAGATGCCTTCTGAATAAAAGGAAAAAAACGGCAAAGAAATTGTTCAAAATGCATCATCCCAAAGGCCCTTGGAAAATGAAGCTAATAGACAGAAAAAAGAAAAAGAAACAGTTAAAATGTACATATAGAAAACATGAGCACACAATGGAACCAAGGAAGGTTTAAGCTATGGTAAATGCAGTATTATTTGTACATTAGTATTACGATATTGTAAAACTAAGCCTGAAGTCCCCACATTTTAGCATGAATTGCAATGTACTTCAACCTGCTGATTTCAATGGATTCCGGCATTTATAACTATCCTGAGCCACAATCAAGAATATTACATCCTAGAAAATGAAGTATGGCCAGTGTGATTCTGATGATTGGCTGAATAAAATATTTTTACATATTTTATAAAGGGAAGTTTATTTTCTAGAAATACAAAATAAATATGCAATGAATTTAAAGCAATGTAGCATTATTTATCAATAAACATTCCGACAAGGCTTAGATGACAATTGTGCTCAAAGCATTATCTGTCAACTCTATTCCAAGGTTTCATACATCCATTCTGAGAAGCAAGTAGGTCTCCTATGCTTCATTTCTTCTGGTCCCTGAAGTCTTCTTCCTCTGTATTCACCAATTTAAATAGCTTGTGATATTGAGCAGAAAATACACTTAAACTGTAGTGGAAGCCAGAAAGCCAGAAAAATGGCAGGCAGGCAGACAGGCAGGCAAGCGAAACAGAAAGGAAGGAAGGAAGGAAGGAAGGAAGGAAGGAAGGAAGGAAGGAAGGAAGGAAGGAAGGAAGGAAGGAAGGAAGGAAGGAAGGAAAAGAAAGAAAGACCTGACTCCTTTCTAAAACTGTTAAGTCAGCTGAAAACTTGTCACCCAAAAATTCAGTACATGGTCTTGGGTAAGGCAGGCAAGTCCTTCCATAAATCATGATGCCAACATAAATTGGCATTAAGAATGCCTACTGCAGGGGTGTCAAACTGCCGGCCCGTGGGCCGGTTTCATTATACCGAAGCCGCGCCCACCCCAATGGTGAAAAAGCTACGAAACGTCGCACGACATCACATGACGTCGCGAGTTTGACATGCCAGGCCTACTGGGAAGGGAAGGTGTTATACTGCTCTTCTGGAGCAGCTAATACATTTTGTCCAACCAAAGGACAACAGCAGTAGATTACTATCACTTCCACCAATATACAGAACTCATGGAAAACTAAAGTGGAATCAGGCCTTTCTGGTTCTCTGATATGACTCTTCCAGACCTTTTACTTTATTCGATTTCCTAATGATTATATTCTAAAATCTATTTACTAAATTGTATCCTTTGTATCAAAGGGTGGCATTCTAGTCATTGAGGTGTATCATATAGAGAAATGACTGTGATGTTGTTGACTTTGGCACAAATGTGGTAAATCAAATGACTCTATTGATGTATCCTCATCCATTATAAGACTCCATAGCAAATTGTGAGACGCATCAGAAACCCCAGGAAAGCCTAATTGCAAAAAATCTTGGGAAAACAGGTGGAATGTGATTTAATTGGCCACTCCCCCCCATCCCAGCTTTCCAGGTGATATTTCTTAGCCCAGCCCAAGTGGCAGAATCAGACAATAGACAAGCACTATTGCAACAGGATTTGGGGTTACAAGCTCTTCAGAGTTTGATAACCTAAAGGACAATAAGGACGTTTTAGAGTCTTACTGGCAGCTGCTCCCACAGATAACACCAGTGTGTAGCCACTTAATCCACACCTGGTGAAAACAATGTGACAGAAGCAGCACATGGTACATTCAGAATGTCTTCCACTTTAAATGGACTGTAATGTGGCAACAATCAGATCAATAAATCTGAAGAAAAGAAAGTCCAGAACAAGTACATATCTTTCCCAAATATACTTGAATTCCCATATAAATTGCTTTTTCTTCCCAATTTTCTGTTCAGTGGGTTGATGTCAGGGATTCCATGTGAATAATATATTCACTGGGGAGACTTTGCTGAACAGGTTTTCAGGGCAGGGTAGCAACCTAATGTAAATCCTTCTTTTTTTTCTTATAATATTTTGATGATGAAATTTAACAAAATTTAATCCAATCTGCTTTAATAGATGTACCATTAAATACTACGGTATATATCTTTATTAAAGTTGAAACTATGTTTCTCAAAATAAATTTGCTGAATAATGTCTTGCATAGTACAATTCTGACCCCAAATTTATAAACGGAAACCAGAAGCTTTCAAATATTTTAAGGTTTTGCTTCTGGAATTCAGGAAAACTGACCAGACAATTACAACTTATTGAGCCTTTCCTTCCTCTAACCTTGGTTTTTTCATTCTGTCAAACAAGACACAAATGCTGATAAATTTTACTTGGATGAATTTTCTAAAAGTGACTTATTATTTGCACATGAACCTCAGAAAAACTTCAGAAAACCAGAGAAAATTCTCACAGTAGGTGCTAATTCTAATTTCAGTGAATCAAATATTCTTCTACTTAAGCATTGCACTGAACTGTAGTAGCTTGATCCTATGAACATAATTATTCTCATTTAAAACTCAGCATGTGGCTTAATAATTTATTCAATAAACCAAGGTTATGGAAAAAAACTTCTTAGCATTAAGCTTGAACCTAGTCAAAATGTTTTAAAGTAATAGAATAAAAAATTAACCCAATACATATTTTAAAGACTCAATGAAGATCAAATAAAACTTCTATAAATGATATAATCACAGATTAAGCAAATGAAAATAGCCTGACAGTTACTTTAAACTTTTCTCTTTTTTTGTATCAAAATAAAGTATACAAAGTATGATTTAATTGCCAAACCTTATGTACAGTACTATCTCTATATGAGTATTCAATCAGCAAATTGACCACAACCTTCTAGAATACCCAAAAGTAAAATTAAAAAAAATAGGGCCAGGAAACAAGCACTGTAAGGAATGAATATTTACAAGTTTCTACAGGGCATCAAGTATCTGAAAAGAAAATAAATAAAACTGAAGGAGGAGAATAAATCAACTCTTCAGTGCTTCAATGGAATTCTAAAAGGAGTATATCAATCCAGACAACAGCATTCTGGCACCATTAATATAGTGCTGCATTTTGTTCTATATTTTGCAATAAGTAAAATATGGCCCACTATTTAATTTCTTGGAATCTCAGCTTTCATATTTTTTTTTCTGCACAGGATTGGAATGGGCTGTGACTGATTAAAAAAAGATCTTAGAGTTATTATGGACTCTATTTATTGAAAATAAATTGCACCCTTTGTGCAATTACTGTATAAAAAGCAAATTCTCTTTTTAGGAGATGAATTTCAATCAGGAAATTAGAAAATAGAACTGCTAAAATAACAATGTTTTTGTACAAGACTATGAGGAGACCACTTTCAGAGTATTGTGTATAGTTCCAATCACTGAATTTTAAGAAGGAAAGTACAGAGCTAGAAAGGATAAAAAAGACTGTTTTAGCTTGGAACAAATGTAAGGGATGATGTGGTAGGGGTTTATAAATCATACCATGGTGTAGATTATGTGGATACAGACAAGTAAGGTTAGAACATCTGCTGAAATTAATTGCAGAAAAATTAAAAAACAACAAAAGACTTTTTTTGCACCATCCATAGTTAAAATAAGGTGACCAACCGTCCTCCTTTAGGGAGGACAGTCCTCCTTTTGTGAGTTCTATCTTCCCTCAAAAAGTGTCCTCCTACATGTCCTCCTTTTCGATATTTGAAGACTAATCTGCAGGGCTTTTTTTTCTCATAGAATGCTCAGAACAGCATTCCGACACCTTTTTTTGATGGTTTTTTTTCAACTTTTGCATGAGCTGTGCTACTCCCCCTATTGGCTTTCGAAAGCCAATAGGAATTGCTGCTGAGCGTGCCAAAACACCCGGCCGGCAAACTTTGCACATGTAAGTTGTCTGCAGCAAAGGCAAATTGGCAGGAACTTTGCACCCCTCCCTGCTACCCAACTACACCATCTCCTACCAGGAGACTGGAGCGGCGATGCCACGGTAACTTTCTCTTGATCTTCAGCCCTGCAAGGGCAATAATGGCTGTGGGCGCAAGAGGCAGGGGCGGCAGGGCTGCTGCGGGCGGGGGTGTGAGGGGCGGCAGTGACCAGCTGCCCCCATGCTGTGGGAGCCGCGGGGCCTGCTCTACACGGGGCTGTGCAGGGTGGGTGGTGGTGCTGGCGGGGTGGCTGCAGGCGGGGTGTGTCAATGGCGGGCTGCGTCAGTGGCGGGCTGCCCCCCGGGGCCGGAGCCGGAGCCGGAGCCGGTGCAGCTGGTGCTTTGGGAGCCGCGGGGCCCGCTCTACACAGTGGGGCAGCAGTGCTGGCGGGGTGGCTGTGGGCGGGGGCGCGGCATGTAAGCATAATTACAATATAAAATGTTATTGTTACAAATGTTTTTTATTATGCATTTATCATATTATAGTGTATTCTGTATTATTGTTGCAATGAATAAAATGTTTCTTTTATTTACGATATTTTTTTCTTCAATTTATTTGTGTCCTCCTTTTCATTGTAAAAAAGTTGGTCACCTTAGTTAAAAATAATAGAATAGCAGCCTGTATAGATAATTTTAAAAGGGGATCTGACAGGTTGCTAATGACAGCAGAAGAGACTGTCACCACTTTGTGCCTTAATTCTGGTTTTCAAAATTCAAGTTATTTGAACTACTTCGATCAAGGCCAGAATTGAAAAATCATCAAATGATTCAAAGTGCAGATTCTGCAAAGAAGCAGAAGAAACAGTAAGTAGATCATATACTCAGGTCCTGCAAGATTGCACAAGCTGATTATAAACAACAACATAACATAGTCACCCAAATGATTTACTGGAACATCTGTAAAACTTATCATGTGCCAGTAATAAAAAATTGGAGGGAAGATAACATTGAAAAAGTAGTTGATAACGAGTGGGTTAAAATATTGTGGGCTATTTTAATCAAGACTAATAAAGTTTTGTCTCATAACATACCAGTTAACAAAGTACAAAGAGCTGAAAATCAAAACTGAAAGATTATGGAATAAACCAACAGTGGTTATCAGCAGACTGGTTGCCATATTAAAAAATCTG